TCGCCACACAGTGGCTTCATCAGTCCATACAAAGGAGAATCTTGAAGAATAGGAGGAGAATGAGGTAATCAGTCCCTCAACCTTGAGTCGATGTGGTCAGTCCATCAATCTTGAATAGAATACGGCATACGTGCTGAGAAGGAGCTTATATACCGTTGGCAGGAGAGGTGAAGCAGTCAGAGGCAGTGTAACACTTATTCAATGTTGAAGTAGGTCGTGCCCAAGAATTAGGCAAGCGAAGAATTCCCAAGTATTAAGATCCCAAGAAGATGCAGTGTCTGACAGCTTTGTAGATGAATGGTTCAGAGAACCGACATGTTGATAAATTAGACACATGTGCAACTCTTGGGTATCTTTATTGAGGGACTGATTACCTCATTCTCCTCCTATTCTTCAAGATTCTCCTTTGTATGGACTGATGAAGCCACTGTGTGGCGAAACGTTTCCTCAATAAAGATACCCAAGAGTTGCACATGTGTCTAATTTATCAACATGTCGGTTCTCTGAACCATTCATCTACAAAGCTGTCAGACACTGCATCTTCTTGGGATCTTAATACTTGGGAATTCTTCGCTTGCCTAATTCTTGGGCACGACCTACTTCAACATTGAATAAGTGTTACACTGCCTCTGACTGCTTCACCTCTCCTGCCAACGGTATATAAGCTCCTTCTCAGCACGTATGCCGTATTCTATTCAAGATTGATGGACTGACCACATCGACTCAAGGTTGAGGGACTGATTACCTCATTCTCCTCCTATTCTTCAAGATTCTCCTTTGTATGGACTGATGAAGCCACTGTGTGGCGAAACGTTTCCTCAATAAAGATACCCAAGAGTTGCACATGTGTCTAATTTATCGTTTAAATCTGTTCATCGTAATCTTCTATTTATCATGTTTCAAGATTGGTATCTGAGATTATTCCACATTCTTTTCATGTTATCAAGTTCTGTCTGTTTTTTTTTATTTTTTTTTTGGGCCTCTCCTTAGTTATATATAATAACACATGCTATTTCTGACAGAAAATGGGTTTAGATATTTTGAATTCAAATTTTCGCCTATTTTCTGGTGAACAAAACCAAACGTAGTTATATTATTGAAACTGGTTGATAATTTGCTGATTATTACAGCCTTACAGGTTAGTTAATCTAATTCCTAATAACTGAAATCCAAAATTATATTTACATTTGTCTCCTTTACCTTTCCTCGGTCCATGTCCCTCTCTCTTCCTTTCCTTCTCCTTCCTTGTTCCTCTGGCTCCTTTTCCTTTCTCGTTTTCTCCCTCTCGCTCTCTGCCTTCCACAGGGTGGCCGAGGCAATGATCTTGGGGACCATGATGGTGGGTCAAGTGCTGGCCTTCGCTCCCAACTACAGCAAGGCCAGGGTGGCAGCGGCCAGGATTTTCAGAATGTTGAAAAGACAGCCGGCCATACCCGCTTCTAGTGATGCCAGGCATATTCTGGTGGGTCTAGGTGGAGAAAGAGAGAAAATTAATTATTATTATTATTATTATTATTATTATTATTATTATTATTATTATGTTAACACCATCATCTTAATGTAAGTATTTATGGGAAATTCTAAACATTTGTGAGTGATCATACTCAAGAAATGCTGAATTCCTATTTAGAACCAATGAGTACATTCACGTTGGCAGTGTGAGAGGGACCGAAAGTAACTAACTCTTAAAATATAAAAACAAAGATCAGAAAAGGTTTAAATGAAGTTTTAATATAAAGGTCTGATCAATTTGGGTTTTGCTAACCTGTAATGTTTTTATATAGTTTAACTTGAGAGCTTTGATGTGCTTACACATATATCTTCCTCTGAAGATGTGTATGCATGTGAAAGCGCTCAGGTTTTATTTCCTCTTTTCACCGTGGTATTTTTTTCATATTTGCAATCACACGTTCTATTGTAATTTCTTCCATATGTTAACATATCAAGTAAATTAAAAATATATATTTTTTTCTTACTTTGGTATGGTTTTAAGCTTCTTGTTATATTTTTAAATACTGAACAATTAAAAAATCCATTTCGTCCAGGTATGGCAAAAATTGTGGAAATTGTTTAATTTAGTGGGAAGCGATAAACCCATAAGGCTATTCGCCACCTAAGGATTAGGAGGTAGGCAGGTTTCATCCGAGAAAAATCATGGGTGGCTGCAGTTCCTTGGATCTGGAGATCTTTACCAAAATCAAAGCATCTAGTGAAGGGGTAACATAACATAATAATTCAGTAAATTTTGCACGACATAAACAGCCATAATAATATGTCATGAGTTTCTGCACTTCTCTGCTAGAGGGAGGAAGTGAGGGACATCCAGCTGACTGGTGTGCACTTCACCTACCCGAGCCGCCCTGATGTGCCTATCCTGAGTGGGCTGGATGTGGCCGTGGGCCGTGGGCAGACACTGGCGCTCGTGGGTGGCTCAGGCTGTGGCAAGAGTACCATTATCTCTCTCCTCGAGAGGTTCTACGAGGCCACGGCTGGCAAGGTGGTAAGTGCTGTTGATGGGGGGAGGGAGTGGGCAGGGTGGTACTTCGTGTTATTGGTGGAGGGTTGGTGGTGGTAGTTATGTAGAAATTTGGTAATTATCCTAGTGTATAAACCGCCATCAGCAACTGCTGAGAAATTCACATATCAGTTAAGGAAGATAGATAGCTATCTGCATAGGCTAGAAAATCCCACACCAAATATTTTACTACTTGGAAATTTTAATCTCTCTCATGTAAAATGGAAGATGGCGCAACGTAATGTTATACCAAAACTATCTCCGGGAAGCACCCTGGCTCAACAGGCACATACCAGGGAATTAATGAGGCTTTGTGAAAAGTACTCATTGAACCAACAGATAACTGATCCCACTAGATATGAAAATACCCTGGATTTGATATTCACAAACAACGAGGAACTAATCAGAGACATAAGTTACAAAAACAATATACTCTGATCACATCACAGAGGATCAAACGAGTATTAACTCAGGGTTAGGGAACTGCGTCACTAATGTTAGAGACGGGATATTTAGTAAGTTTAATTTTAACAACCAAGAGCTATCAGACATATCCTGAGAATCAGACATGAGCGCCATAAATCCCCACCAGTGCCTAGAGAAGCTGAATATAGAAGCATACAAGGTCTGTATGAAGCACATATCGTTGAAGAAACCCAGAAGATCAGATAGAGAGAGAGCGTGGGAGATTGTACAGAAGAAGAAAACGCGTTACCGAATTGCTTAAAACACACAAATGGTATACAGCAACAGAGGAAAGATAGTCTTAGCCGAGAGATCACTGAATTAAAGCAAAACTTAAAATTTCATACCCAACAGAAGAAGTATAAAGGAACAAAGGGCCATACAGGTTATTGGAAAAAAAAAACAAAATATTCCTCTTCTTATGCAAAATCCAAACTAAGAACTACCTGTAGAATTGGATCATTATTGAGTGGAGATTCGTATACTGACGATGAACAGGAAATGAGTGAAATCCTAAAAGAACAGTATGAGTCGGTGTTCAGTAACCCACTATATATCAGCAAGGTAGAGAATGCAGAAACATTTTTTACTCCAGCCGAAAGCCGCGCTGACCAACAAATTGACATTAGTACAAATCCCATAGATTTCGAAAAAAAAAAATGGATAACATGCCCACTCATTCAGCACCTGGACTAGATTCATGGAATGCTGTATTTATTAAGAAGTGCAAAGTACCACTAGCATGAGCCCCCAGTATTCTTTGGAGAAAGAGCTTAGATCTAGGTGAAATACCGGAGACCTAAAGAGTGCAGACATAGCTCCTTTGCGTAAGGGAGGTAGTAGAGCACCAGCTAAAAATTGCAGACTAGTATCCCTAACTTCTCACATCATAAAAATCTTCGAAAGAGTGATTAGACGGCACATTACAAATTTTATGGACCAGCACAACCAGCATAACCCGAACCAGCATGGTTTTAGAGCAGAACGATCATGCCTGTTACAGCTGCTGAACCATTATGACGGAATTATAGAGGCATTGGAAGACGACCAAAACACAGGTGTGATTTACACAGATTTTGCAAAGACGTTTGACAAATGCGAACATGGAGTGATAGCGCACAAAATGAGGGCCATAGGCATTAGGAGAAGGTATGCAGATGGATTTTCGTGTTCCTAACACATCAGCGGGGTAAAAAGCTCAGTTCTCCAAGATACTGTCCTCGCACCTCTGCTGTTTCTCATTCTCATAACAGATGTAGATAAAAGCACCAGTCACACTTTTGTATCATCATTTGCAGATGACACTAAAATAAACATGAAAGTCACTACGGTAGAGGACACTGAAAAATTGCAGGAACACATAAGCAAGGTTTTCGAGTGGGCAGTGGAGAACATGACTTTCAATGGTGATAAGTTCCAGCTGCTTAGGTATGTAAAGAATGAAGAACTCAAAAGGAGCACTGTATACAAAATTCAAGAGGGTCATCAAATAGAACGACAGGAACACGTAAAAGACTTGGGAATAATTATGTCAGCTGGCCTTTCTTTTAAAGAACACAGCAAGACAAAGATCACGACAGTCAGGAGGATGACGGGGTGGGTGCTGAGAACTTTCAAATCCAGGGAAATAATGCCAGTGGTGACACTTTTCAAATTGCTAATGCTCCCTCATTTAGAATATTGCTCAGTGCTGACGGCCCTGGTCAAAGCAGGAGAAATATCAGTAAAGCACCTAAATTACTGGGAATGCCTTCAAGTCTTCAACGTGTACTCACTGGAACGGAGGAGAGAGAGATACTTGATAATACATAACTGGAAAGTACTCGAGGGTCTGGTCCCAAATTTGCACTCTGCCATAACAACATACTGGAGTGAGAGATATGGGAGGAAGTGCAAAATAAACCCAGTGAGGAGCAAAGGTGCGGTGGGGACAAAAAGGGAACACTGTATCAACATACGGGGGTCCCAGATTATTCAACATCTTAGCAGAAGATATCAGAAACACGGCTGGAACAAGTGTAGAAGCCTTAAGAGGAAACTGGACAAGTATCTTCACCAGGTACCAGATCAACCATGCTGTAATGAATCTGTGGGGCAGCGGACTGCCAGCAGCAACAACCTGGTTAACCAGGCAAGCACCAAACGAGTCTGGCCCATGGCCGGGCTCCGAGAGTAGTGAGACTCTCTAAACTCTTCAAAGAACATAAGAACATAAAGAAGGAACACTGCAGCAGGCCTATTGGCCTATGCGGGGCAGGTCCATGTAAACTCCCGGCTCAGACCAATAAAGTGTATACCAAAGGTATATCAAAGTAGGGGGTGACGGGTTGTATCTGGTATTATTGGTGGATGTGTTATGTGTCAGATGTAATCAACGAATTTTGTCGAAAATAAGAAAAAGTTTTGGAGTGAGATTAATAAGTTGAGAAAGCTGGGAACGAGGGATTTGACAGTTAAAAATAGGGGGAGGAAGTTATTAAATGGAGAGTTAGCGTATCGGAAGATGGAGGGAATATTTGAGGAATTGTTAAATGTTGCTGAAGATAGGGGTGCTGTGATTTCGTGTAAGGGCAAGGAGGAATAATATCTTGTAGGAGTGAGGAAGAGCCAATTGTGAGTGTGGGGAAGTACGTGAGGCAGTGGGTAAAACAAAAGGTGGAAGTCAGCTGGGATTAATGGGATAAAGAGAGAAATGTTACAAGCGGGTGGGGATTATAGTTTTGGAATGGTTGGTACTTTTATTAATAAATGTATGGAAGGGGGTAAGGTACCTAGGTTTGGGTGGGAAGCGGCATAGCTCCATTGTATAAGGGAAAAGAGGACGCAAGAGAGTGCAAAAATTATAGGAGAGTAAGTCTATTGAGTGTACCGGTAAAGTGTATGGAAGAGTATGACACGATTGAAAACCCAAACCATACCACGGGCGGGATTGGAACCGCGGTCAGAGAGTCTCAAAACTCCAGACCGTCGCGTTAGCCACTGGACCAACTAGCCACAATAAGATTCGTCCAACTAGGTATATTTCTACACCATAGGAAGGTTAGCATAGGCACCACTGTGACCACAAAAGCGTCCCAGTTGGACGAATCTTATTGTGGCTAGCTGGTCCAGTGGCCTAACGCGACGGTCTGGAGTTTTGAGACTCTCTGACCGCGGGGTTTAATCCCGCCCGTTTGGATGGTTTGTTTGCAATCGTGTCATTACGATTTCGTGAGATTGTTGACGGCAGTGAGGGGACTTGAGCTAGAGTTCGTCACGGCCACGCTAGCTGGAGATTCGTCTGTAAAAACTTGCATTTGTGGTCGCAGTGGTGCCTATGCTAACCTTCCTATGGGTAGAAATATACCTAGTTTTTCGAATCTTATTGTGGCTAGCAGGGCCGGATTAAGAAGTTCCGGGCCCTAGGCTATTCAGATTGGCGGGGCCCTTTGAGTTACAGGTAAGCGAAGCGACCCCCTTTCCCGCTTGAGGGTGGGGGGGGGGGGGTCGGGTGTGGAGCCTGTTTAAGGTCTAATTAAATACTTCTGGCTATTTAGATTAAATTTAATAGGGAAATACATCAAGACAACCAAAACCATTTACCAACAGCCATTATAACTATCTTGTTAAATCATGCATTTTAAAGAGAATAAACCAAGACAGCATAGTATTACTAGATTAGGCTATTAAGTAGTACATCAGTACCTATTAATTTAGCATAACCGCTACAGCACTATTATTCCCTTTATAAATCACTGACCATTATTTTATCATTGCATCATGCATAAGACTATCAAATCATATAAACTCAAGAAAATAAAGAATTGTTTATATTCGCAGGCACTTCTTAAATAAACTTTTTTTCTGGATTTCATATTGGCAAAATCATCAATTATATTCTGAAAATCAATATTTCTTGTTAGATCAGACTCAATGGTCAAACAAGGCTAGGTTACCACAATTTGTCTTGGCTCATTGTTGAACGGAAGCTGGTTTTTCACTCTTTTCAAAAAAGAAAAAGAACGTTCTCCTCACATTAGTAGCTGGAAGTGTTAGGTAAAGGCGATACACTATGTCACATTAGGGAAGGTTTCTGAGATACCTCATTTCTTTAAATGTTTGAAAGCAGCTGAGGGCGCACATTTTTCAGGTGGAGCTTTAATCTGAAATTTATATACCCAGAAAAATAACTATTTCTTCAAAAAAATGTGTCCTGACATCTGCTGAAAGGCGTTGTTGCAACTTTAATGCAGCTTCCTTCAATTCTGCATCTGGCATAGTAGTAATTTTGAACAGAAATCCAAACTTGTCATTGAGATTCTGGTAGATTTCTTTTCTTTTCACCAATTCTGTAATCAGTGAATCCAGAATGGCGAAGTATGTAGCTGTCTTACATTTTTTCAGTTAATTAGTCACAGTACAAGTCTAGATAACGTGTAATTACTACAGAAAATTGGAGAGGAATCTCCCATACTCATCATTAGCGGGAAAAAAACGCTGTTCTGATGTAAACAAAGGCGTGTTGAGTGTTGCCATCTATG